TATTTTTTAAAAATAATTTTATTGAGAAAGAAGTAGCAATGAAACAGTTCCAAAACAGGTTAGTAGTACAGCTACAATAATTAATACATTGCGTATTGTCATCTTTGTATTATTCATAGTACAAGATGCAAACATGATACCTTGTCTAAACACTATTCAAAACTTTCTTCTCATTGAACTAAGAGCAAGTAGCTGTATATCTATGCTATTTTGTATATACAGATACATATTTTTGTTTTGTTACAAAATGGCCCATCATTTCTATCCCCCTTTTTTGTTTACTTTTGTCAGAGATGTATATTCCATTGCCCTTCATATATTGTAGGTGCATGAATTCAGCAAAGTAATCCAATATAGCCCAGTAGTCCATAACAATTTTGGGTTCTCCACATGACTGGCAGTGTTTCATTTTATTTTTTAATGTCCTTCTCTCCCTACTAGATGATTCCATGACCTGTAATCCATTGTTTGAAACTTCCTGTTCTGCTTTTTATTCTTGTGTCACAGAAGCCTTAAACCTACAGATGTGCATTCCCTGTACGCTTTGCAGGTGGGTTTCTTGAAGCAGTTTAGTTTTAATCAGATGTCATTAGCAGATGGAGTTTGAAATGTGGAAGTTAGGTAGAGGCTGTTTGTTTATTTTCTTGTTTTTTGGTCTTGTTTTCTGCTGGGATTCACAGGGGGAGAGGCTTTGGTGTCTCTCTCTCTGCAAGCACTATATTAGCAGAGATGCTGATAGGCAGGGACAATATTAACTAAAACTTAAACAAAAAATTGTAGATGGAACTTAAAATAATAATTCTAGTATTCACATGCAAAAATAAATATCTAAAAAAATTAAGACTATCCTAAAAGAGAAGAGCAGCAGAAGGAACTCGACTTCCCAGCTCCCAGAAGTTAGGAGGTTGCAGTTTTGGTCAGCAATAGACAGGAAATCAATCGAGCAGAAGAGAGAGGCCAGGAACAGATGAAGTGCAGGTAGCAATTTGGTCTTTATACAAGATGACCTGGTAGGGCCGGGGAGATGGCTCAGTAGAATAAGCACTTGCCTGGCAAGTGCAAGGGCCTGAGTTCAATCCCAGTTCCGCCAAAAACAAACAAACAAAACAAAACAAACAAAACCAAGATGACCTGGTAACAGTAAAAGAGAAAACTATGTGATTGTTTATGTGAGAAAATTGGATTTCCATATCAAAGAAAATAAAATTAAGTCTTATCACCATACTAAAATCCAAATAAAGAACTAAATGAAACAAAGCAAATCCTTCAGTTTATTAGGAAGGGGCCGGGAAGATGACCCAGTGGCTTAAGCACCTGCCTGGCAAGCACAAGGTCTTGAGTTTGATCCCCAGTACCACACACACAAAAATCCAAAACAAAAAGCTAGCTCTCAAATTACTAGGAAGCAATAGGATAATATTTTATAGCCTTGGAAAAAAAACGGATATCTTGTTAAGAAATGTGGAATCACACATCTTTTTTTTGGAACTGGAGATTGAACTCAGACCTTTGTGCTTGCCAGGCAAGCACTTATTCTACTGAGCCATCTCCCCAGCCCCTACACATCATTTTTTAAAAAGCTATATTGACTGTATCTAAACTTAAAACTTCTCCATGCCTGGTTACACAACAATTAAGGTTAGGAAATAAAAATCTGCGACTTCTCTAAGGGACAAGGGTTAATATCCAGAATATATAAAGAATGAAGGAAAACAAAAAGTAATAGGGAAGTTTACAAAAAGTATGTTTAGACAATTCAGATGCAGTGCTGTTCAACCTCACAAGAGCATCAGGAAAATACAAATGAAACAATACTGGAATACCATTTAAAGTCCATTACATTTGAAAAAAATAGGTTAGACTATCAACTGTTGAAGCTGTATGGAAAAGGAATTTGCTGACATCCTGATAATTGAATCATATTTGTTTTTCAATTTAATTGCCATTAGCAAGTTGGATTGAAAACATATTCTGTTATTGAGAAATTCTTAGGCTGGGGAGATGGTTCAGCGGCATAAGCACCTGC